CCCCAAAACCCCAAAACCCCAAAACCCCAAAACCCCAAAACCCCAAAACCCCAAAACCCCTGTTTTATGAGTTATAATTGAAATTAGAGATATTTAATTATAGCAAATTGAGATGGGTACTGTGTTGGGGGGTTTAGAATTCGCCTTCGTCTGCGTCTCCGTCTTCTTCACCATCTCCGTTGGTCGTACCGATGAAGTCTCCATTTAGGTTGTATATATTTCCTTCTCCATCCATGAGGAATTCTTCCTCTTCTCCTTCTATTTGGATTTTCTTGAGTCCTCTTGCCGCCAATTCTTCTTCGTTATCAATGTCAATAGCATCCGAGTCCTCTTCATCTTCATTTTCATCAGCATGGAGGTCACTTTGTGGGCCATCATTTTCAGTTGGGGTATCTTGGAGTTTAGATTTGGGTTCACTCAGGTCGTCCACGAGCCCATCAAACATGTCATTACCAGGGTTAATCTTTCCATCTTCTTTGTCCATTTCGAAATCATCTAGCATGAAATTTTTGTCATTATTCTTAAAATCTCCTTTATTATCGCTGCTGAAAATATCTTTATCTAATTCTTGGGGCTTAACTAGTTGCTCATCTTTCTGAGCAGAATTGATGTCAAGGCCCCAATCATCAGCCTCGCTGCTTTTATTAGTATTCTCATGGAAGTTTTCCTTATTCTTTAGAGGGGAGTTATGCGAGAGATGGCTCTTCAGCCTTTCCATTAGATTCTCTAATTGATTCCTGGAGACTACGTTTGGATCTACAAATTTAGGATGCTTTGTGAATAACTCTTCTAAAAGATCTCCTGAATTCCTTCTTTGAACGTTTTCGAGCTTTACTTCATGCACAAAGGTAGCTTTGGGATTTTCTTTGAAGTAGTATTGGATGCCTAGTTTTGGAGGGTTGTATTTCAGTCCGAAGTTTGTAGGAATAATTTTTCCTCTTTTACTGCCTCCTTCCATTTCGCTAATTTAAAATTTAAATATATTATGTATATTAGATTTTGCAAAATGGGGTTTTGGGGTTTTGGGGTTTTGGGGTTTTGGGG